TACACAAACACACGCATGCACATCGTCATATGAGCAAAATATTCTCAAGCACGACGTTAAACCCAATTTCACCTCACCTCACCTGAGTTATCTACCCCTGGGGGTAGCTTTGCAGCATTTGAGACACCTCAGGTACTCCTTTGGATTGTTGAGAAGCTCCAACTTCCCTTGAGTACTTCAGCAGATGACCTGGATCACTCTTATACTCTTAGGAACCGGGACTGGTCTACCATCATCCTACCACTTCGACCTTGTATTCTGAAATATCCAGTACACTAAATGATGGTTTCAAGAGCCTGAAACGAATTAAGGATGGATTCTCCGCTCCCAAATATAATCCTTCTACCTCTCATGTCCTAACAAAAATCTCTACAGCTCCAACAGTTGATGAGGATATGGGAACCCTGTGTGACAAACGAGCTGCTTCGCCCTACCTTATTAAGGACAGAGAGTTGGCTCACATGGATTCAACCCTTGAGAAAGACATTGCCATCTATTAGTTGCGTGATTGCAGCAGTCGACGCTGTTAACACTGCTCTGGAGCATACTTATTCTGATCAAGACGCTTACATCCGAGGATGCATGTCTTTAGCTCTGGACCAGTTCCAAATTATCCTGGATCAGTTGTCTCATTTTTGGGGCTACCAACGTGGATCCCTTAACATCTCTTCATGGGAGGAGCGATTTAAAACAGAACTGTTTCGACAGCCTTGGTTTCCTGACTCCCTCTTCAATGGTAGCATCCAAGAAGTATCTACTAAAGTTCGATTGAACAGGACTCATTAAAACAGCGTCGAACTGCACAGTTCACCCTTACCAAACCGGATTTACACAATCTTTTTCGTGGCGCATCCACTCAAGGCCGTGGCAGGGGAAACAGATCTGGCCGTGGTGGTTCCTCCCGTCGTCAACTCCGCCCCAGTTGTTCCGATTTACAACACTCCGGTAGGCGGGAGATTGCAGATCGTCGCCCCAAATTGGACCATCCTCAGAGATCCGTACGTCACCAACCTGCTACTTCACGGCTATCAGCTACCCGTTTTTGCCAGTCCACCTCTGACGTTGCATCCGGCTCATCGCACATATTCTGTGGACCAGTTTCAGACTGTGCAATCCAAAATAGGTACGCTATCAGACAAACTCGCGATAGAGCTCCTAGGTCCATCGCCCATCACTCCAGGATTCTACTCCCCCATCTTCTTGCTTCCAAAGAAAAATTCCAACAAACTCCGCCTCATCTTCAATATGAAGTTGTTCAATGCCCGATTCCTGCTTCCACCGCCTCACTTCAGGATGGTGTCGATCAACCTTTTACGCATCATCCTGAAGAAGGGAGACGTCCTCATCAGCCTAAATCTTCAGGATGCTTATCTTCACGTTCCGATACATCCAGAACACCGGAAGTACCTTTGCTTCGTGTTCAACGGGAATCACTACCAATGGAAAGTCCTACCATTTGGAATTTCCACGGCCCCCGTGGCTTTTTATCCGAATTACCAAGCCCATAACGAGCTTCCTCCACTTTCAAGGGATCACCTTCGAAAGCTACATAGACAATTGCATCCAGGCTCAACAGGATCTGATCGTATTGCTTCGCCAGCTACAGTTCACCACCACGCTGCTTAGACAGTTAGGGTGGCTGTTGAACATCGTGAAATCGGAACTAATACCGACTCAGAGACTCCAATTCATCGGAGCACTGTTCGACACTCGTCAGGGGATGATGTTCGTCCCTCACGACAGGTGGATAAAGATTCAGTGACGCATTCCTCCAGCATTGTCTCAGGCGAGAACCTTACGACAGTGGCAGGAGCTACTGGGCCATCTGACGTCAGCTCAATCCTTAACGTACAGAGGCCAGCTCCAACTTCGGCCGATACAGCGATTTCTACGCCCGTACCTTCAGGCTGACAACCCCAAGGAACTACTTTGCCCTCAAGAACCGCTTCGTCCAGTCCTTCAATGGTGGCTCGACGAACGGAAAGTTTGCGCCGGAGTCTCTATGATGCCCTTTGCACCGACTCATTACCTATTCGTCTATGCATCCCTCATGGGTTGGGGGAGCTCACTTCCTCGACCACCAAGTGGCCAGGCTGTGGTCATCCGATGAATGGGTACTTCATATAAACGAGCTGGAATTCAAGGCATTAATTCAAGTTATCTCACATTGGGCAACAGAGCTTCAATCAACCAGTCTGTTGATCCAATCAGACAATTCGACAGTGGTTTGGTATATAAATCATCTAGGCTCGACAGGCTCGGCGAATCTGCTACAATGGGCGATCAGGTTCTTCCATCTCATCGACTCACCCAACATCGTAGCCAAAGCCAGACATATTCCCGGGGTAAAAAATGTGATCGCCGATGCCTTGTCCCGATCCAACCGCCCGTCCCCGACAGAGTGGAAGTTACTGCCCCAGATCTTTCAGTCGATGATCTACCCGTTATCACGGCCTCAAATAGATCTGTTCGCCACAAGGTTTGTCAACCTAAGAAGCCTGGCAGAGCCAAACCCAGTCCTGCTTCCCAACCGGGACGACCTACTTCTTCCCCCTCACTCGGAACTGAGCCACGGGTCACCTGAGACCCTCAATCTACACGTTTGGTGCATCTTCAGAGGTCTCTTATAGCTAAGGGCTATTCTCGCCGAGTAGCCACAGCTATCACTTCAGCGCATCATACTTCGACCCGTTCCTTATACGACAACAAGTGGAAGAAGTTTGAAGACTGTTGCAAGGTTAGGGGAATTGCATCTACCACTTCCACCTCGGCTCAGGTCGTTGCTGAGTTTCTCCAGCATCTCCGCACTACTAAGAAACTCAAGGGTACTATGTTAGCTACCTACTTAGCCGCCATCAACTCGGTTTTGGCTACCACCACGGGCACGAAGATTTCCACTGTTCCCGAGTTGCAGAGTTTACTACGCTCCATTTAACTCTCTGACCAGTCCAGGAAGTTCAGACCTCCAGCCTGGGATTTGTCCGTCGTCCTTCGTCATATGATTTCTACAGATTATGAACCTTTAGAAGACAAGGACAAGGACATTCAAGACATTCTTCCTGGTAGCTTTGGCTACTGCTGCTCGTATATCTGAACTGCATGCGCTTGATGTCATTTGGGTGCGGTTTGAGCGGAAGAAGCATGGCAAGGTTTTCCTGGGTCTCTGCTGGGACTTCATTGCGAAAAAACCAACTGCCAGGGCAACCAGACCGGATGTTGACCATTCCCCCGTTGTCCACCATTCTTGGGCCTGATGATAATGAAGATTTGACACTCTGCCCTGTTAGGGCTCTACACGTTTACCTTGCTGCCTCCAAGGATCGTCAACGGCTACGGAAGCGCCTCTTCATACCCTTGTCAACCGCTTCAAGAACTGAGGTTTCCCGGACCACATTGGCCTTCTGGATGCGTGCCACGATCCTGCGAGCCTACACCTTTGCAGGGTTGCCTCCTCCAGCCACTTCCAATCCTCATGAGACTCGTGCACTAGCCTCGATGATGGCCCTCCATAGCAACTGCTCCTTGACCGCTATCATGGAAGGTTGCTTCTGGCATTCTGATACAGTCTTCTCTTCACATTACTTGCCAGACCTGTCAGTCACGGATGTCAAGGGACTACGCCAGTTGGGACATCTTGTACTGGCTCAGCAGCTTACATCGGCCCAACAACGCAGATGAGGGACGGTTCTGCATTCGCGTTACTGCTTCCTTGTATATACTGAATAAAAGTTGAACTGGATCTCAACCTTTTGTTCTCATTATATGGGTTTAAGAACTACTTCACTTGGCCTCCATACCAAGGCATTGGAATACTGCCACCTAAGCGTGGCCCTCTGGGACCTGAGGCACAATCAGTATGACGATGCAGAGGTGTTCGACATTCACGCTTACTGACCTCTACTCCACGGAGCAATTACATCAGTGAAGTGTGACACTCCTGAATTCCAGTGGATTTCGCTTTGCGTTCTGCCTCCAAAGTTGCGGGCACATCCTTTGACTAAGCTTAGGCAAAGGAGTGAGGGTCAATTTGATGCTGCCCGAACTGAACATTAAACCTTGGAGATGCCGAAGTTGTGTTTCTCTTTTCCTGCCTCGGTCAGTGTCTGGGGGACCTTCTTGAAGCAGGGGCTTGCCCGATTGTAGTCGCAAGACTTTAATTACGGGGGTACCTTGTAAATTGTGGTGAGGCGAGGTTGTGGCCGAACACCACATCGCTCGGGAGCACCCATCTCCCCGGGAGTCATTGTGCTTAGTAAGCCAAGGGGTTCTGGAGAACCCACTACAAGCATAGGAGTTGCGTGCATGCGTAACAGGCCTCCCTTGTACATCGCTATATACGGTTGTCATCAGTCCACACAGCTCCAAGACCAGCTGTTCGCACTGTCCAGACAGAAGGGTAATCTTCGGCCTGCTGTCCAACCGTGGGATAAGTGCAAGTCGTGAGATAGGATAAGTTTACAAATTTGGAAATTTTAATATAAATTGTATATTTATATACTTATCCTGTCTCACGCGATGGATGCCCGCCCGGCCTCCCCACTACTCAGATTACAACTTTGGCTACAAGATGAGAATGATCATTCAAGATAGTCACATGGGCAATTAGTGGAGTATGCTGCAAGCTTTATTAGGAACTAGGAAACTAATTAAGGAGAGCAGCATGGAGTGCACGGGCGAATGGACAAGGAGGCCTATGTAAAAAAGGTTTACAGTCGTTCCACTAAAAGTCAAAGCAAGAGAAAGAGGTGCAAGTCGTGAGATAGGATAAGTATATAAATATACAATTTATATTAAAATTTCCAATTTTAAAAATGAACATGTGAGTTTAAATATGGTTACATTTCCATTTAGAATCCATATCAGAGCTGGACCAAGTCTGATGCTGGCTGTTTCTGCTGTACTCTTACTAATTCCATTTCTATGATATCTGGAACTGTTGCCTGTAAGAAACCATGACTGAAGTTGTAACTTATTGTTTTGCATTTTTTTTTTTTTTTCAGTGGGAAAGCTGATTGTTTTCATCATGGGCAAGAGAAAAGGTAGTATACCCCGGAAAGTAGATGAAGAAAAACGAAAATGTCTCAGCTGGAATATGATGGATGGGGTTGAAGATCCACAAGGTTCAAGTGCTATTCTCAGTGATGACCACTCAGAAATACACCCACAGCATTCTCTTGAGGATGGCTTGCCTGATATAGCACAAGAAATAACTCTTGGGAATGAGGAGCTGTGTGTCAACGATGCTTTCTCATATACTGAACAGTTGTTTAACTTCCATTTGGACTACTGTTCCTTTTTTGTAGGCATTATGGACAGATTACACACCACTGATGGCAAGTGGTCCTGTGAAATTGGCAGATTTGAGCTTCAAGTTGTCCCAGAGCCAGGTTGTATTTCCTTATCAAAAGGGTTCCTACCTCAGTGTGAAGAATGCTGGTTGTATGTGGCAGATTCAGGTCACAGAAACATGTTGTACTTTGAACTTGATGATAATGATGAGAATTTACACTCAAATGGACTTGCAATAATAAATACAAAATACCCTCAGTTCTGCTTTGCCGGTGTATCATTGCCCACAGTGTGTCTGAAGGCGCGTTGCAGGTGAAGGCATATCAGGTTGGTACATGTTTATGTGCAGGATGTTCTATGTTACAAGTACCTAACAACCTCTTATGTTGCAAGTAGTATTTCTTCAAAAAAAAATAGAAGAAAATAAATCGTGATGCAACTACAGATGCAAAACCGATAATTTTTATTCATTAAACATTTGACCTGGAATATATTTTTGAGAACACCTTGCAATAGTGTAATATTAGGGGCAATTATTTTGTATTCCCCCACCCTCAGCATAAAGTGTTCAGACCCAAAGGTCATTGAGGTAAGTGGTCATATCACTGAATGTTGGTTACATAACAAACATACATACATATATACATCCATCCGTACGTCCGTCCGTCCGTCCGTCCGTCCGTCCATCCATCCATACATACGTACATACATACATACATACATACAATACTTGTATAGCGCCAACAAACATACATACATATATACATCCATCCATCCGTGGTAGGTAAGTACATACATACATACATACATACATACATACATACATACATACATACATACATACATACATACATACATACATACATACATACATACACTACATACACTACATACACTACATACATACAAACAATACTTGTATAGCTCCAATATCCGTAAACCGCTCAAAGACTCTTTGGGTCTAAGATGGTATTGATATCACATAGAGTTCAAATGCTTCAGTGAAGAGACAAGTCTTTACATTTGATTTAAAAACAGCAAAATATGTGTTCTGAGGTGAGATGGGAAATTGTTCCAGAGATGAGGACAAGTCGTCTCGAGATACCTGTCGGCATATGTTTTTGTCCTAATCACAGGAATTGTCAAAAGACACTGGTCATTTGATGTTTGACACTAGAAGGGAGATGTTGTGTGTGGTGTAGATGAGGGATGTGTGACACTAGAAGGGAGATGTTGTGTAGATGAGGGATGTGTGTGACACTAGAAGGGAGATGTTGTGTGTGGTGTAGATGAGGGATGTGTGTGACACTAGAAGGGAGATGTGTGTTGTGTAGATGAGGGACGTGTGACACTAGAAGGGAGATGTTGTGTGTGGTGTAGATGAGGGATGTGTGTGACACTAGAAGGGAGATGTTGTGTGTGGTGTAGATGAGGGATGTGTGTGACACTAGAAGGGAGATGTTGTGTGTGGTATAGATGAGGGATGTGTGACACTAGAAGGGAGATGTTGTGTGTTGTGTAGATGAGGGATGTGTGTGACACTAGAAGGGAGATGTTGTGTGTGGTGTAGATGAGGGATGTGTGTGACACTAGAAGGGAGATGTTGTGTGTGGTATAGATGAGGGATGTGTGACACTAGAAGGGAGATGTTGTGTGTGGTGTAGATGAGGGATGTGTGACACTAGAAGGGAGATGGTGTATGTGGTGTAGATGAGGGATGTGTGACACCAGAAGAGAGATGTGTGTGGTGTAGATGAGGGATGTGTGACACTAGAAGGGAGATGGTGTATGTGGTGTAGATGAGGGATGTGTGTGACACTAGAAGAAAGATGTTGTGTGTGGTGTAGATGAGGGATGTGTGACACTAGAAGGGAGATGGTGTGTGTTTTGTAGATGGGGGATGTGTGTGATACTAGAAGGGAGATGTTGTGTGTTGTGTAGATGAGGGATGTGTGTGACACTAGAAGAGAGATGTTGTGTGTGGTGTAGATGAGGGATGTGTGTGACACTAGAAGGGAGATGTGTGTGGTGTAGATGAGGGATGTGTGTGACACTAGAAGGGAGATGTGTGTTGTGTAGATGAGGGATGTGTGTGACACTAGGAGAGAGATGTTGTGTGTGGTGTAGATGAGGGATGTGTGACACTAGAAGGGAGATGTGTGTTGTGTAGATGAGGGATGTGTGACAGTAGAAGGGAGATGGTGTGTGTTGTGTAGATGAGGGATGTGTGTGACACTAGAAGGGAGATGTTGTGTGTGGTGTAGATGAGGGATGTGTGTGACACTAGAAGGGAGATGTGTGTTGTGTAGATGAGGGATGTGTGACACTAGAAGGGAGATGTTGTGTGTTGTGTAGATGAGGGATGTGTGTGACACTAGAAGGGAGATGTTGTGTGTGGTGTAGATGAGGGATGTGTGTGACACTAGAAGGGAGATGTGGTGTGTGGTATAGATGAGGGATGTGTGACACTAGAAGGGAGATGGTGTGTGTTGTGTAGATGAGGGATGTGTGTGACACTAAAAGGGAGATGTTGTGTGGTGTAGATGAGGGATGTGTGTGACACTAGAAGGGAGATGTTGTGTGTGGTATAGATGAGGGATGTGTGACACTAGAAGGGAGATGTGTGTGGTGTAGATGAGGGATGTGTGACACTAGAAGGGAGATGTGTGTGGTGTAGATGAGGGATGTGTGACACTAGAAGGGAGATGTTGTATGTGGTGTAGATGAGGGATGTGTGACACTAGAAGGGAGATGGTGTGTGTTGTGTAGATGAGGGATGTGTGTGACACTAGAAGGGAGATGTTGTGTGTTGTGTAGATGAGGGATGTGAGTGACACTAGAAGGGAGATGTGGTGTGTGGTGTAGATGAGGGATGTGTGACACTAGAAGGGAGATGTTGTTAGTGGGCAGGCATGACAGAAATTGGCTTTTTTTCTCGTCTCACACAGTCTGGGATAAAGACATTACCAAAGCCACAGTAGCTGTATGGTTTAAAACTAATGAGAGGTAGTTATCAACAAACAGAGCACTCAGTTCTGGTGTTTGGCTCCTGACATAAGAGTTCTCATTCTTGCATCCAAGTACTGTATCAGAGGAACAGCTTGTACCCAGCAATCAATGGAGCTACACTGATTTTCTCTACATTTGAGTTTAAAGTTTCTCAAGTGAAATTCAGTATGATCTTAACTATTTTGCCAAAGATGTAACATGGTTAGGGTATTTGCAAGAACGAACACACAATCATCAGTTATCAAATAATTAGCAATTATTATCATTGTTAATAACTCAAATAACATTGCCTCTGTTACATTAGGAGCAATCACACCAACCTTTCCAGAATTCTTAATCTGGACATTCAATTTGGAGAGGAGTGGGTTTCATGCCTCATGTTGGCACATGAGTCAGAGTAGCTAGATACTATTACTTGCACAACTGATTATGGATAGTTCACAGTGAAAAGGACTTTATTTGCTAATCTGAAACCTTTATTGTGTGATGACTGCCAGACTACAGGCAATGGTGTAATTTAGGTAGTATATGCTGAATAATTAACTGCCTGGATTTTCATTGCTGTATTGAATTCTACCTTGTGACATCCTATTTGGGTTACATGCTTGACAGCCGTTGACAATGTTCTTGAAATACTTGCATCTGATATTGAATGTCAGACCCACTCTTTGGACTATATATTCAATGTCTTTTCCCTGAATGGAAGTGGGTGTAACTTTCTTGTTGATGTCGCTGAAGGCAGGGGATATTGTCTATTAAAGTCACACTGTATGCGACATCGATTTCTCCAAAAAGAAGTAATATCACTCCATTAGATGTGTCTGTAACTTTGTTTTTCAGCTAGCTGGAGGCATGAGACATGTTTCTTCTCAAATTGGAATCTTTCTTCCTTTTCAGTTGGTACGAGGAAAGTTTGATCCTGCAAGCAGGGTTCTTGAAGTTATCATTTATGCCAAGGAAACCGTCCTGATGAAACCACAGTTTCCTAGTGAAAACATTCGCGCAAATAACATTACCAGAGCAACAACAGTACTTATGGAGCACTTCTATGGGTTTAAACCTGATTTCCGTGAGTACAGCATGAAACAGCATGGTCAGAACAAAAGCTGATTTAACACACTAACAGTTACAACATCTTTCTGACTATCTTAGAGCTAACATTGCTGAATTTGGAGAAAAAACCTACATGTACTTTATTTGTAAGGTTTTGAGGTTTTAACTGTTGATTATACCTTCTTTTTATCATGACATTGAAAATGTTTTATTCAAAGCAACTTAATATGTTAAACCTGTTTTGAGATCAAAGTTCATTGCCATCTCTGTCAGCGATCAACGTTAGTCACAGCACATGCACATGGTCAAAACAGCTTATGAAACAAGACGAAATCACACACAATTACATAAAACATGCACAAACCAGTGTGTGAGAGACACACCACCACAATTCTGTCAGATCATAGTGTTGAATGCTGTGAAATCATGAAACGGACAGGTCACAAAAGCAGAGAATCCCATGTGTCATCCAATGACAGCTGTGTCTCTCAAAATGGGTTGTATTTAATAAATCTATTGACAATCAAATTGTACCAGGAGGCTTATTCCCAGTAAATCTACATGTTAATCAGTTAATGTTGAAATACATCATAAATCGTGGTTGTCATCTGGTTTCTCTATGCTTGTCTGAAGCATGGAGATGGTCAGCAATAACATTGGCAGCCACTGATACTGTAACTAACTAAAAAGACTCAGCTGTTAAAAATAAATATCAACATGTTAACTAATAATGTTTTGTGGAGAAATATATTTATCAGCATTCTTTTCACTTTTTCCACAACTTTTCACCCCTGCAGTAGGAGATGGCTTGTTAGTCTGATTTCCAAGAAGTGACCTCTCATGTTAATACCTGAAAATTAATTGTGAATCCAAACAGCGCAGATTTGAAACAGATTACCATAAAAACAAAACATATATCATTGGATTCAGTATTAATGGTTATTTGTTAGCTTCTTTTTGAAAAAAACTATGTTTTTTGCACCCTATTCAAGAGGACACATTTTTAAAAGCACTCGTGTTATCATGGTACAATGGAGAGTGTTCTGAAATTTGATGGGTACCATTGTTCTGTAGATACCCTTGTACCATGACAGCAAGAATGCTTGAAACGGTAGTCTTGTGCCAGTGGAAACTGGGGAAATTGCTCATGGTCTCGTGTAATGTTTTATAAGATGGTCTCACAATCATTCTTGACTTTCTGAATAGGTTTTGATGTGTGTAGAGGCATCCTTATGAACATCGTGGTGACATGAAAGTAAGGCACCATGGCAGTTCTTGGGTGGGTCTGTAACAAGTACGACTGCCAGGACACCACTTGTCCATGCAAGGGTCATTGGACTGTTTCTTGGTGCCATTAGTTGTGTCGTACGTAGTGTTAAGACCGTGTTGGGAAATTATTCTATTTCTGGCAGTCATTTTTCAAAGCTGATCTTTCTTCTTTTTGAGAGTATATTTGTGAAATGTATCAGTAACTGTGAGGCCAGTTTGGATTGGTGTACCAATTAGGTGTTCCTTAAGCCTACTGTTTTACAGCTTCTTAGCCATCATGGCATAATGGAGATATATGGAGGGTATATATGCATGCACTTTTACAAGTTCTACCACATCTATTGTTCTGTTATTTCCAAGGTCAAGGTTGCCTCTTTGGATATAGGGAAACATATCTGCATTACATTACTGATATTGTCAAGAAGTTGATTATGGTCAAGGCCTAGCGAAGAAATTGGACTGGAAGTACACAGTGGTATACTCAAGTGTCTCTGCTGTTAAAATCTGTTCCCACTATTCTAAAATTGTTTAAACTTATCCTATCTCACGGAGTGTACTCTCTCTCTTATAATCGACCGTTGAGTGAAAGCGAACTGTAAACCAAGTTTCTGGGCTCTCTTAAACCCTTCACCCGAACACACACCACTGCTCCCGTCACTGGACAGCCTGGTAGCCTCCTGAGAGGATGTAGCATGCTCTCCGGTTGGTCATGTGACTCCTCTGTGTAGTCATTCCCTTTCTTGTCGCACTAGGGTGCTGATGTGCTGTAAACTGTGGAAAATACACTGACTTAAATAACAGAACAGAAGAGAAGTTTATTCAGTAGTATTTGGGCCATATGGCCTATGATACAGTTGACAAATACAATATAGGACTTAAAAAAGCTTTAACATCATGGGGAAAGAAGATTCAACATCAAGAAAGAAAGTTTGCGTGCACTGCAACAAGACTTTCTACGTCGTGTACCTACACGTATCCTGCATAGACTTCTTTGGTCTATGTGTTGGAAGAATCGAAGAGGAAGATTACGTGCAGCCTATATGCCAAGTTAGACGAAGACAACTATATAGAAGAATCAGGCCCTACTTCAGCTAAGAGCACAGATCGAAGAAAGAAATAATTTGAGACGACTATGTCAGGGTGGTGGCATCTTGCTGACCGGAACTCCGGACACAAGTCAGAAGAATTCGGCCCTTCTTCAACTAAGAAAGCCATGAGGTCCGTGAAAAAGGCACATAGAACAACCACACATGTGTCAGATCAAACAACCTCTAGATATGCCGTCAAATTATTATTGATCACCGATCACCGATCCCCTGAACTGGCGTGAAGTGGCTAACCCACATTCATTGGTATTACAAGATGCAGCGAACTGGCAAGATGCGACGGTTCCTCACGATTCGATGATCCCCTTGAATTCGGCGAGACACCCAGATTTGTGTCACCAATCTCAGACCCTCTAGCCTGGGACCAAGACGATGTGTTGGTCCATCCTCACTCAGACCAACTACACTGGTCCCTGCAGACGCTCCATCTTTGCGTATGGCGCATCTCCAGAAATTTTTGATTGCCAAAGCGTACTCTGGAAGAGTGGCGGCTGCTATTACTTCAGCCCATCCAACTTCTACACAGTCTCTATATGATGACAAGTGGAAGACGTTTGAAGATTTCTGCAGATTGAAGGTATCACCATCTCCTACTAGAGCTTCTGCCCAGGTTGTTGCTGACTACCTACAATATCTGCATATATGCAGGAAATTAAAGGGGGTCTACCCTTGCCATCTATTTATCAGCCATCAACACGGTGATAGCTATGACAACTGGCAATAAGATTTCAACTGTGCCTTAACTCCAGTCCCTTCTGCGCTCATACAAGTTATCTGACCAATGGAAATTCTGACCCCAGACCTGGGACCTCTCCGTCGTCTTTCAACACCTTGTCTCCAACGACTACAAACCTCTAGAAGAGAAGAACTTTTAAGACCTTCTTCTTCTTGCTTCTGCTGCTTCTTGCTTATGTTGGAACTCCACGCTCTGGACATCAATTGAGTACGTTTCAAGAGGAAGAGGTTCGCAGGTTGTGCAAGTGTCGGTTTGAAGGAAAACCAAGTACTATGGATAGTCAACTTCTTTATTGCAATGTGTGCGATGTTTAGGTGTAGGTACTAACACCATTATCCAGTGAGTGATACAAAGAGTTGAAGTAAGGAGAATATATACATAGCTGCATCTAAGTGAGTGTATACAATTGACAAGGTTGATATACAGTCAGACCTGGTTTATCCGAACACTTTGTTTTTTTATTGATATCTGAATCAGGACCTAGGCGGTCGGCTACACGTGAAAGCAAAACAACTAAAAATAACATTGAAACATAACTACATCTTTATTTAACCTAACATCTTGCATAATGTAGCAGGGCGTGGAGTAATCCCACAGATGACATCCTTACCTTGTCAGCTTGCTGACGGGGTTAACCTCTTTGGTCATGTCGACAAGGTGTCCGACTTTGGATCAGAAGTTCCGTGGTTCGAATCCCAGCATGGGACTCGGAAATTTTATGGCCGCTACATTGGCGCCCAATTTGGGGCTGAGCACGTTCATAGGAAATTTGAGCAAAATAAGTCTCAGTACCCAACTATGCGGCTGGGGACGTGCCTTCTGTTGACGGGGGAGTATGTAGCAGGGCATCCATGACATCCTTACCTTGTCAGCTTGCTGACGGGGTTAACCTCTTTGGTCATGTGGACAAGGCATCTGACTTCGGATCAGAAGGTCTGTGGTTCGAATCCCAGCACGGGACGCGGAAATTTTATGGCCGCTACAATAACATAACATAAATTACATCGGCCTGAAAAAGTCTTTGATTGATGATTGTTGACGGACAGAGTTGTTATTCGCTGCTTGGATTTTTAACAACAGCTCCAGGTTTGTTATGTCGCCGACATTTTCAAATCCATTGCATCCATTGGCTGAATGTGTGAGGTTGTGATGGGTGGCAGGAAATGGACAGTCACGCTGGTCAGTTTCAGATTTTTACAGTTGTGACTAACCACATTGTCAACAAACGAAAATCATCTTATAACCTTCACAACTCTTTAAACTTCTCCCTTCCATTTACGAGATTGAAACTTTCCTTATCATCTTTTTTTCCATCTACTATACAAATGTGGAACAAAGTTCCCATAGAAATAAGAAATATAGATTCTTAAGCTCACTGAAAGGTTTTGTAGGTTTATTCTTGTATATACTATACACATCCTCTTTAAATACCTTGTACATTCCTTCCACAAATCCCTGTTGTCAATGTTTTATATATTGTAAATATGACATATGTAACTTCTGGGAAAGGGCTTTCCTAAGTTGGATAACTTGTGTCCAATCCATTTCATTTTCGAATAAAATATGTTTAAAACAACAAACAAAATGACCCGTCTTCCACGTGACCTCATTTGTCGATCAAAAGCCAGCAGCCAATCACGAAACAGCTCTGATGTCATCCACGCCTTTGTGTTGTTTCTATATCTAGCATACATCTCCGTCTTTATTTAAGCTTACTCAATCAACGATTCGAATCAGTGTCAACTCAATGTCAAACTTTAATTGTTTCACCTCTAATTAACCTACACGCCCTGTGATAAATATTCAATAAAAAATGAATTAACTAGCCTACACAATGTTTTGACAAGCGGTAGACATGATAGACTTCGTGTTTTGATACCTTGCCGACAACAGACCTTGGGTTTTGATATAGGACTGATCAAAGGTCAATGTAGTGAACACTGTTGATGAGCGGTAAACATCAGACATCTTGCCAACGACAACCTTGGTGTTCGGATATACTTCGTTACCAAAATTGAACGTTCGGATACGGAAACCGAACATTCGTATATACAAGGTAAATTGTAACTAGAAAATTTTGTTTTTGTGAAGAATGTTCGGAAACCGAGGTATTGGGATATCTGAAGTTCGGATGTACGAGGTCTGACTGTACATTGGATTGCTAATTAGTGATTTCAGCAGACTAGGTTGATGTACAGAGTGATAGTGATTAAAACAATATGGAGAATGAGTTTATACAATAGAGTTGATGTACACTGAGATGGTAATTACTAAGTTGAAGAGAGTGGGTTGATGTACACATTGATTGGTTGTCATTACAATACACAAAACGAAGCATGGAAGCCAATTGGACGAACGAGATATGGGTGGATTACTGGTGATCTTTAATTAGGTGGTGACAGGCCGAGGAAATGAAATAATTTTGATAACGATTCATGGTGGGGTTGAAGCGTTGAATTTTTATGACTTATGGTTTCCTGATCTTGTAGTTTCCCGAATGTGGATGTTGTTGCGAAGAATGGCATGGTCAGGGTTGGTTTGGGTGTGGTCGGCTATGGCGGATTTGGAGTCTTTTTCCATGTAAGACTCTCCACATTGGCAATGGATCTGGTATGCTCTTTCCATGGGATCTTCTTTTGTTGTTGATGGGGGTTTGCCTGTGGCTTGGAGGAGGTTTTGGATGGACTTGCCTTTCTGGAACAGAACGTCTATACCTGCTTGCTGCTGAAGGAGCCGTGGTGGCTGACTGCTGGGACATACGCAATACTTATTACGAAGGGTGCTGATTGCTGACGGGGTGATTTATCTCTTGGGTTGAGGGTGGATCTGATGACGTTAACTAACTTCTGTGGGTATTGGTTATAATGGACGAAGGCATGTCAGAGGTTGTTTAGTTCGGTTTCTAGGGCTTCTGTTGTCGAGCAGATGTTCTTGGCTCTTCAGGTAAGGGTGGAAAAGAAGCTTTCTTAACCTGGAGAGGGTGGTTGGAGGTGAAGTGGAGATATTGGTCGGTATGAGTGGGTTTCCTGTAGACAGTGGTGGAGAGCATATACTCACTATGCAGCTATGTATATATTCTAATTTTTGCAACTCTTTGTATCATTTGCTTGATAACGGTGTAAGTACCTACACCGAAACGCTGCACTCATTGCAATAAAGAAGTTGACTATCCACAGAACTTGGTTTTCCTTCACCTATACAACTTCTAAAATGCCTCTCAAAGAAGTGCCTAATTATCCCACTCTCAACAGCCTCATCAGCAGAAGTCTCCCATACCACACAAGCCTTCTGGATGTGGTCAATCATCCTGCAAGCCTACACTGTCACCGTTCTTCCCCCTCCAGCTGCATCGAAGCTTCATGAGACTTGGGCCTTAGCATGGACAATGGCCCTTCAAGCAACTGTTCACTGACATCTGTTATGGAGGGATGTTTATGGAGAGAAACGGTCTTTGCCTCCCACCACCTGCAGGACCTCTCAGTGACAGACGAAGGACAGTTTGGTCCCCTGGTACTGGCTCAGCAATTGTCCTTTGCCCGACAGCGCAGATTGTGACATCCTCCGTCAGCGGAATCAGTGTTACCTTGTATAAAGTGAATCAAGAGGTATGGAAGTCCATTTTTATCTTCATTCTACTTTCCCTTGGGCATCAGATCTACTTCACCTGGTTCTACGCTGGGGTGTTGCAGTGCAGTCACTTGCATGACTTCATCATAGGCTGAAAGGCCAGTCTTGTACTCCAATGCAGAGGTGATCGACAGTCATACTTACTGACCTCTACTCTGAGACAGTCTGACCTCTACTCTGAGACAGTCTGACCTCTACTGTACTCTGAGACAGTCTGACCTCTACTCTGAGACAGTCTGACCTCTACTGTACTCTGAGACAGTCTGACCTCTACTCTGAGACAGTCTGACCTCTACTCTGAGACAGTCTGACCTCTACTCTCATGAGCAATCACGTCAGTGAAGTGTCAATACTGAATTCCAGTGGATTTCGATGCATTCTGCTCCGAGTTGCCAGAACATCCTTGACTAAGCTTCTGTACAGGAGCAAGGGTTATTCGATGTCGTCCGGAACTGAACGTTAAACTGTTGAGCATACCGGGCCATTTCGCCTTTCACCTAAATGTGTGATCGTGGTAGACGGTTGCGAAGCAGGGGCTGGCCAGATCCTAGTCGCAAGACTTTTATTCACTGGGGCTTTCTGATAAATCAGGGCGAGGCGGGTCTACTTGCCAAGTTCCGTACTTTTGTCTTGAACAAAAGTTGCGACTGAAAAGCACATTTATTCAGTAGCACCCACTCCCGGAGGAATCATATGAGCAATCAGAGAGCATACTGCATGCTTCTCAGGAGGCTACCAGCCTTCCAGGAATGGAAACAAAGGTGTGTGTTTAGGCGAAGGGTTCAAGAAAGGCCAGAAACTTTGTTTACACTTCGTTTCCACTCAACGGTCGATTATGAGAGAGAGTACACTCCGTGAAATAGGATAAGTATTATAAATATACAATTTATACAGTGGAAACCTGATAAGTAAAATTTCAAGACACTTGCCAAAATTGTTTACTTATCAGGCATTTTACTTATCCAAACTTATCAAAACTTATCTCTGCTAGATTTCAGCTTTTATTACTTGTCACGTGACCTTAATGGCGGCCTGCTTCAAGTCATTTATCATGTAAATTGGATAAACTCACTGACATTGCTAATTGGTCTACGCACTGATACTCGCAAGCTACATAAAACAATGAACAACTTGTCAGGGCTGACCTCCAGTTGTCGAGTGTATTGTCAACTGCATGACGCCAGCGAGATGTAATTAGGATGTTTGTTTAGCTGGAGACTGACACATGCCCCTCATGTGGTGATCGCTAATTTAGTTATCCGGTCTCTTTTGCTAAGTAATTTACTTCCAGGGACCGTGAGAAGATGTTTAGTTAAGCGGTATTGTTTACTTATCCGAGTTTAGTTAACCGGACTCTAATAGTGATAATTAAGAAGAAATTTGCTGGGACCAAAGAATAGTGTTTACTTATCCGGTCTGTTTTGTTAAGCGGTCTTTACTTAGGCGGTTTCCACTGTACATACTTCATTTTGATATAGCAGACAATGGTGGGAATCAGCATGAAATAGGATAAGTATTATAAATATACAATTTATATAATAGTTAAAAGTTGCGTTGACATATTGTTACAAGATCTTAAGAATGAGAGTCTCCAGGGTTTGTACTTTTGACACTTGTTTTTAACGTTAACATCATTAAACATCAGTTACCATTTAACCACTTATTTATTGCATCATTTTTTCTTCTATTCAGACTTTGATGGCTTGTCAAAAACAGAAAAACATGACTTTGATAAGTTATTTGAAGGTGTGAAGAGGTGCCACATTGAAAGGATGAAATCTCTCTTTGTGGACGTGCAGCACCCATGCCTGAAGCCAGTTTTGAGACAATATCAGAGACAGGCAGTGACTTGGATGCTGAGTCAGGAGAGGTACCAAGATGGTACAACACACACACCTGCACATACAGGTTAGATAATAGGGCTTGGTTATGATAATAGCCATTTGTAAAATCAAACTTGTTTTGAAACAGAACATACATTTCATAAATAAGTCTTTTGAGACTGCTTGACAGAGCATGATAATACATGTCTCAGACAACATGATAATACACGTCTCAGACAACATGGTAATGCATGTCTCAGACAACATGGTAATACATGTCTCAGACAACATGGTAATGGATGTCTCAGACAACATGGTAATACATGTCTCAGACAACATGGAAATACATGTCTCATACAACATGGTAATACACGTCTCAGACAACATGGTAGTACATGTCTCAGACAACATGGTAATACATGTCTCAGACAACATGATAGTACATGCCTCAGACAACATGGTAATACACGTCTCAGACAACATGATAATACATGTCTCAGACAACATGATAATACATGTCTCAGACAACATGATAGTACACGTCTCAGACAACATGGTAATACACGTCTCAGACAACATGGTAATGCATGTCTCAGACAACATGGTAATACATGTCTCAGACAACATGATAATACATGTCTCAGACAACATGATAATACATGTCTCAGACAACATGGTAATACATGTCTCAGACAACATGATAGTACATTCTTAGACAAAATGGTAATACATGTCTCAGACAACATGACAACATGGTAATACATGTAATACTCAGACAACATGATAATACACATCTCAGACAACATGATAATACACGTAATACATGGTAATGCGTCTCAGGCAACATGATAGTAATACAACGTAATACTCAGACAACATGAATAATACACGTCTCAGACAACATGACAACATGATAATACACGTCTCAGACAACATGGTAATGCATGTCTCAGACAACATGATAGTACATGTCTCAGACAACATGATAATACACGCGTCTCAGGCAACATGATAATACACGTCTCAGGCAACGATCCTCAGACAACATGGTAATACATGTCTCAGACAACATAATAGTACATGTCTCAGACAACATGATAGTACATGTCTCAGACAACATGATAATACACGTCTCAGACAACATGATAATACACGTCTCAGACAATATGGTAATACACGTCTCAGACAACATGATAGTACATGTCTCAGACAACATGATAGTACATTCTTAGACAACATGGTAATACATGTCTCAGACAACATGATAATACACGTCTCAGACAACATGATAGTACATTCTTAGACAACATGGTAATACATGTCTCAGACAACATGATAATACACGTCTCAGACAACATGATAGTACACGTCTCAGACAACATAATAGTACATGTCTCAGACAACATGATAATACATGCCACAGTGAAATTGATGCTCATATTTTGCCTTTATGATATCTATGTTCTTATGTTTTAGGACCTGCTGTACATTTTCTGTATGCTGAGGTTACAATGAAGGATGGGAAAGTTTTGTATTACAACAAACACAATGGAGTGTAAGTATGATTTAGCTGTTGGTGAGGAAAGCATCCTCTTGGATGGGATAGTTTAGTAAATGGTTTCCCTTTACAGAGCTTCATGCTAAAAATACAGTATTCCCAGAGATTATTGAGAAAGTTGTTTAGGCAAATATCTAATACATGTATATAAGCTATGGAAGTTTTACTGAAATGAATATGTTGAGACATGATTCTCCTACAGCTTAAGTGTATATTTTTCTTTATCCTGACTCATGCTTATTGCTTGTCTCCCTTTCCTTCCGAATGCTAGTGGAACACTTGAATCCCCTTTTGAAGCTCCCTTAAAAAAAGCGGACGTAAAATCACTTACCAGGAGTCACCTCCCTTCCCAGGTTTTGGCGGGAAACGGCGCCACCTGTCTCCCATGCTCTTCACTCTCTCCTGATTCCCGAGTGGGCGGTTGTGAGAGCACCTGGTCCCATATACGGCATTATATCCTTTTATTATTTAGGCCTTTCTTCTAAATTAGCTGTATAAGGCTTTAGTTAACGTTTATCTACTATATTCTATGGAATTAATTCTCAAATTTCTCTGTTTTATCACGTTTTTACATGATTATTCACATTGTTTACAATTGATGAAATCTTGTTCTGGTTGTAGGTATCGATTGTCTGCTGTTGATCCACATAACCTATGTCCTAATTGCAAGCCTGTATGTTTATCTGACACTCGTTGTCAGTTGTGTTTTCACCTGTCTGATATTGCATTTTACAAATATTCATATTTTTCCTTATCCTGACTCATGCTCTTTTGCTTGTCTTCTTCTTCTTGCGAACTTAGTGGAAACACTTGTATCTCCCTAATTGAAGCTCCCTTCAATGTAAAATCACTAATTAGTACTCACCACGAGTTACCCCCCTTTCCACAAGCGCGGGAAACGAGGGCGCCACCTTCACCCATGTGCCTCACTCTCTCCTTCTTCGCCCAGTGAGCTGGACGTGAGAGCGCTTGTGTCTCCCGACACTATATCCTTTGATTTATATTTAGTTAGTTACCTCGTATAGACATCTATAGAGGTTTAGCTAGTATCCTTCAACGATTATATATTGATATTTAGTCGTTTTTCTACAGTTTATTCACGGGACGCCGTGTTTGTTTCAGTGGATTACGTTGATGAAAATTTTTGTACTATTGCAGATTACGGTTTTTTATTCTGCTGCTGATCCGCTTTTAATATGCCTTAGTTGTACTGCGCCATGTTCATTTTATTCACATTGCAGTTGCGGTACTAATTTATCCAATTCTACCTTTTATTAATATTTACTTTGCGTTTGAGACGCGCAGCAGATAGGTCGCGTATGCAGAGTCTAGTATGACTGATACACCTGAACCCCTTGCCAGTCTACTGCTGTTGGCCGACCCCCCTCCCGTGTGGTGTTCCGCTAGAGTGGTGGAGAGGCGTGGGACGTAGTCCGCCATCTCCAAGAAGCGTCCTGCTTCCCCAGACATCCCATCGTCGCAGCCGTAGACTAGAGGTTTTCTACTACATCTCTACAGCCGGATTTGGGCCTGTATGATGATCAGCCGATCATCATACCTGATGTACATCAAAGAATGACCGATGTCGGCAACAGTGATGTCAGCGCGAGATCAGCATGCAGCCTGATGTACCAACGCTGATATTCGATGATCTTCCTGAGGGTCCCATCGCTACCAACACTCAACACAGACGTCGCACACCTCACAAGTCTCCGAGAAAATCAACCCATAGACAAGAATAAGAACTACAATCGTAAATTGGTTCAGTTGAATCCATGACGAGACGTATGTTCTTGGCCTAAATAGATCTAGAACGATCAATGAGACACTTATCACCAGACTTCGTAACACGACTTCTGAAGATGATAAGATGATCCACTCGGCCCTACTTATGCACCTCGTCGCAGTCCATCCCTGAGGACCTGATGCGGCAAATTATGACCATGATGGAGGATCACTACAGACTGCAGAAGCAGGGACCGAGCCTTCGCGAAGGCTCCAACGTAGACAGCACCCCAGAGGCACCCCCCGTCAACGTAGCAGCCAGGACGATGTCACCTTCGCGAAGGAAGTCACGGACCACCTTGACGAAGGACCTAGATGTACAGCCTTCGCGAAGGCCTTCTTGAAGGCGGGATAAATCATCACCTTCTTCGGTTTCATCCCTAGATGTGGACTCGGACCATCAGACATCACGGAAGCCTTCGCGAAGGTCATATCGTCGTTCCCCCGGACCGGACGCAGAGGAAGCTTCGCGAAGGCATTCGCGAAGGACACCTGAATCCAGATCATCATCATCTAGAAGGACATCGAGGGACTACACAAGAGCTTCGTGAAGCTATCAAGCGTTGACATCTGAGGGGAAATCAACGAAGTCTACTAGGACTTTCTCAACCGAGATGGTTCCAGCCGCAGACCTGGACGTCTACGATGATCAGCCGATCATCATCCCCCGAAGCGACCGGTGACAGCTACAATGACATCAGCAGAGATGACCATGCAGCCTGATGCCTCTACACTGATGTCGGATGATATTCCTGTGGACCCCTCCATTAACACCGCAGAAAGGCACCGGCTGGAACTCTCTCCAGAGTTCACCGAGGAAGTCTCCTCCAAGGTCTCCATATACTAGCCACTCGTCATATATAGCTACTCGTCAGTCCGTTCAAGACATCGCGTAAGTTGTCTATCAACTGTATGCCAGATGCCATCTATAAGCCTACGCGAAGACAATTGCACAGGCTATTTACAACACAGAACGTCGCCGTATTAATTAGTCAACGACGTTTCATAGATCTTCACAGAAATCAACTGTTCCGTATAGATGGCTAGAATATGCAATCCCGGACGACGATACGATTATCTACATGCGTGACCATTACGCATATCTGCAGACAATTCAATATTGAAATTGAACAGCAGCCTTGTTACAGCGAGTATAACTCATAATCGTCAACTTTTCTGAGAAGAAATATGTACAACAAGTTCAGCTTTAATTCTACAATTAGGACGATACATTCATGTATACAGTCTACAAGCTGACAACTTGCAAGGTTATTGTACCTTTATATAAGGAAGTCGGTATTAGATTCAAACTGAAGTTACTTTCACGACAGCCAGGAAAATAACCTACCCAGCATTAATATTACAGAGCGAGGTATTTCACGAAGGTTTTCAGCGTTTACCATTAACCCTCGAACACGCGGGTCACTCGGGTAACTTCGAAGCTACGGTGAAGACCGGCGATTATGCTAATATCAACGGCGGCAAGATTTTATACAAGGTTTTTCCTGCTACACCGGTGACATCACAGCGCTGGTATTCTACAGAATCAAAATGCCTTGTTCTGATTGGACCATGATGGACAACGACCTCGCACGAGGTCGATCTTAATTCACAGTTCAAGACTTACGTCACAAGTGACAACTATATATCAGTGAACAAGCAAGCCTCCTTACAGTCCAGTTAACCTGAACCTTCATGATTGGGCTGCTTTCTTCAGGTTAGAGGCCTCCCCTGTCAAGTTAGGACGAGAGCACGGCAGTCAGGCTTAATTTACATAAAGTTCAACGAGGACAGACACACCTGGTTGTGCACCTACATCATCAAGAACCTCGCAGCTTAATTACCTAGACGACGGGATACAAGTTGATCTAAAACCACAGTGTCTCAGACTACAGTTGAATTTAATCATCAAGCTACTAACACAACTGGATGGTTAGTAAACCTACTTAAGCTTCTGATTGGAGAATTAAAACGGAAATTCACACTCCAACTTGGGGATCTGAATATAGTACTCCAACACCTCACAAGTGAGGTTTATGAACACGCCTGGATAACATACTTGGGCTCCATGATACGATGATTCTATCATGATGGCCAGCAAGAGCACTGTAAATTTATCTCCACCTAACCAAACAGGAAGGAAAATGCAACAGATTATTTCCTCTATCTTCAACTGAGGCAGAATGAAGTCTCACGCATACAATATCTCCGTTGGATCAGAACTGTCATACTATGTGCATACAAGACGGATGGACCCAATCCGACCCTCCATGAGCTTAATACTCATGATATTAGAACGTTAACTTCTACAATTGATTTACACAAATGTTTTTTGGAATAATGGAGGGTTTATTTCTGGAGATCCGATATGGTGGTTGCCAACCATTATCTGAGAGATATCACCACTGAGGGGCGTCTCAGGTATCCACCAATTCGATCCCATGGTCCTCGCACAACAATTGACAGTTCCTCGGAGAAGATAAGTCAATCTTACAGATTTCTACTTATCTTATAACAGTACTAAATAGCTACATGCTATATATAATTTGCTTAAGTTCCTTTTATCATCACAGTACTATGATTATTACATCATACAATATATAAGTTAACAACTCTACAGAGTTTGTTATTATATATTTACCTTAAGTTAATCATATCTTAAGAGTAGTACTATGGTAACATGATAATGCATTAGCTAACAAACTCTACAGAGTTTTTGGCTATTATATACGTAGCTTAAGTTATTTATATCTTAAGCATAGTACTATACTCATATTATAAAAATATATTAGCTATCAAACTCTACGGAGTTTTGCTATTATATAGGTAGCTTAAACTTATTCATATCTTAAGCTTAGTAATACGTTTATATCATATAAGTATATTAGCTAACAAACTCTAAAGAGTTTTTTACTATTTGGCTTAAGTGTCATCATATTCTAAGCAATATGGTTATATTATAACATGTATTAGCTAACAAACTCTACAGAGTTTTTGCTATTATATATGTAACTTAAGCTTATTCATATCTTAAGCGCAGTACTATGTTATATCATATAGGTATATTAGCTATCAAAACTCTAAAAGAGGTTTTTGCTATTATATATTTGGCTTAAGTTTCATCATATTTTAAACTTTATGGTTACATAATAACATGTATTAGCTAACAAACTCTACGGAGTTTTTGCTATTATATATGTAACTTAAGCTTA